TGAAAAATCACCAAAATCTTTATGGAAAAACATCCTTTCATATATAACAATTATATGAACCAATAAGAACACAATATAAGACTTCTTCCATATTTCAAGCAAAGCTTTCAATTATACGAATCACATACCTCTAAACCAAATCAGGTTTCACATAAAGCCACTTTTAAATCTTTTTAAACCAAAATAAGGTTTATAAAGTTTCAGGCCAAACCTGATGTTTTCTCCTCAATAACATCCAAACTATGATTTCCAATAAGAACCTTGATCCTAAATCTTTAAATGACAAAGAAATAAAGATTCCAGAACACGGTAATCTTAAAGGATATAATAGAAAGAGTTATATCATACAACACACACATACAAATGTCACCCTTATAACCAAAGGTTTGGCCTGAAACTTTATAAACCTTATTTTGGTTTAAAAAGATTTAAAAGTGGCATTATGTGAAACCTGATTTGGTTTAGAGGTATGAGATTCATATAATTGAAAGCTTTGCTTGAAATATGGAAGAAGTCTGATATTGTGTTCTTATTGGTTCATATAATTGTTATATATGAAAGGATGTTTTTCCATAAAGATTTTGGCGATTTTTCACCCTGCAATAACATAAGTAGGGTATCTCACTAGACCTTTCGGTCTAACCAGAAGAAGAAGAAGAAGAAGTATATATAGGGTCAGGTTTAGGAGAAAATTGTAAAAAATGAAAAACCGAAGAAAACCCTATTAACCATTATTTGTATGTATATATAGTCGGGCTCAAACAAGAACGATACCTATTTAAGAGAATAAGAGAACAATCGAGTTACATGTGATTTTACACTAACATCACGTACAAAATCACATGTGGTTCATGCAGCCTTGCCCCCGCGACCTGAAGAAGTTCCATAGGATCGCCCACACACTTTTTTGGCTGTTAATGTAAAATCACATGTGATTTTGCACGTGGCCTTTTTCGTATTCTCTTAAATAGTTAAATTCTCAATTGATCATCCATATATATATATATATATATGTGTGTGTGTGTGTGTGTGTGTGTTGGGGGGGGGGAGGGAGGGGTATATATATAGGGTATAGATATATGGTGTGTGTATATATATATGGTCAAGTTTAGGAGAAAATTGCAAAAATAAAAAGTCGGGGAACACCTTAATTACCATTTATCTGTACGTTATACACACGTACATAAAAATAATGAAACATTTTTAATTATTTATATGCACATATACATACTG